ACCTTCTTTCATCCAGTCCCTGCTCTCCCTGGCCCTCTAACAGCTGTCAGTCAGTTCCAAGTTCTTTAAATTTCTAAACACAGGCTTTGACATAACATTAACACTTAAAATATAGACTAGGAAGCATCTCAAATAAGACCATCTAATTAAAGGTGTTAAAGATGAAGCTCCATGAGCACTGAGGCAGTCTGTCAACTTTTTGTCAATGTCAGCTTGGGACACAGGCCTGGTGTGAGTCAATAAATAAGAGCCAATTGGCACAGCTGACTGTTCTAGCCACTAGTCTAAGCATTCATTCACTCATTCATTCGTTCGCTTTTGAATATAATTCCATGGGAGGAGTACAGTTATGATCCCCAGTTTTCAGATAAAGAACATTAGGTATAAGGGAATAAAATAACTTAGTTATCAATGTATTGTCTCTCAGTTCCAAACCCATCCCTCTTTGCTGTTGGTAAACTGGAGCTGGCGGGATATTAGGCTATGTCAACAGAGGGCACCAGAGGGACACTGCAAGGTTGAGTCCCACCAAAGACCCTCCCTTACATGTTCTGACTCTCCATGGTCTTTATTCCATGTGGGAGCCCAGAGGCCAGCCTGGTAGAGTCCTAGTTGCATCTTGGGCCACATTCTCCTCACTGGTTGCTGCTTCTGCAGACCAGCTCTGACCCCGTTTGTGGAAACTCTTTTGCTACCAGCAGGCTGTGTCCCGCTGGTAGCCACAGGTTCTCTGAAGAGGACTGAATCCTAGCCTTGGGGTGGGGGTGGGAGCACAAATCGGCATAACTACTTAAGAAAACTCTTTCACAATATCTATCTACTAAAGGTAAACACATATATATGCTATAATCAGAAACTCCTCTCATGAATATACACACAAGATTAAGTGAGCTTATGTCCACCAAGAGAAATGAGCTAAAATGTACAAGAATATCCACCAAAAGAATGAATGAAAGTTTGTGGTCTATTTCTATAATAAAATAATAGACGGCAATGAAAAAAATGAACTACAACTATACCTAACAATATGAATGAGTCTCACAGACATAATGTTGAGCAAAAGAAGCCTGATACAACATGGTACATACTGTATGATTCCATTTATATGAAATTCAAGAATAGGCAAAACCAAGCTACGGTGGATAGCCTGATGGAAATGTTCCCTTTCTTAGGGGCTAAGGGGTTACGTGGATATGCACATAAGTAAAAGAAATTGATTGAGCTGCACACTTAAGATTTCTGTTCTTTACTGTATATATTAGATCTTAATAAAAAAAAGAACACTAAAATTTTATGTTAAAGAAAGAACAAAAAGGTATTCTAATGCATCATATTTAAGGTAGTGAAGAAACCAGCATGCCATTTGAGTTTCACTAGAAAATCATCTTTTGAAAACTGATTTTCCTCATGTACAAATTTGGAATATTAATGTCTACCACACACATAACAACCAAGTATATTAGGTAATGTATAAATATCTTTGTGTTCCTTTAAGAATAGCCCCATATAAATATAATTACAAACTATAAATATAAATATATGGTAATATTATTTGTGGAGCATTCTAAGAGCTCGTTTTCACTTAAGTATCCTCATAAATACTACATTTCTTTTGAAATACAATCACTAAAACCCATAAAGTAAATGAAAGTGGAAACATGAGTTAGGCCAGCAATAAATTGATAAACTGAAGCTAAAGTAGGGCTGCCTATTCTTTCCATGACCCTTATGATGGACAATTGTCATAAAACTTCAATGTTCATATTTATTGACTCTTCCTGAAGGATACTAAAATCCACTTAGTGACAAGATTTTCAATTCTAGAGACTCCAGTCAAAGATTGGTAAACTACCTGAAGCCCAATAACACCATACAGTTTATCTTCTTTGTTTTCAGAGTTATTGAAAAAACAGTTAAACAATAATCTGGCTGTAGTCAAATGTATGTACACAGCATGGTTCAGATCACAGAAGTCCTCTAAATCTGAGCTGTCCAATGCGGTGGTCACCAGCCACCTGTGGTTATTGAACACTTGAAACATGGCCAATTTGAATCGATGTATCTTCTAAATATAAAATACATACCATTTTCAAACCTCTATAACAAAAAAAGAGAATATGAAATATCTCATTAATATTTTTATATTAATTGTATGTCAAAATGGTAGTAGTTGAAATATACTGGGTTAAGCAAGATATATTGTTAAAATGAATTTAACCTGTTTATATTTACTCCATTTTAATGTGGCTAATAGAAAACTTTAAATTTCATATATGACTTGGATTATACTTTTACTGGACAGCAGATCTCTAAATAAAGGTAGAAATTTTTGAAATGCTATTTCTTTCCAGATAGTTTTCAGAAAGAGAGTTTTAAGAATTAAGGTTAAGGTTACCTAATACTTTCTGCCAAATTACCTGTTGCTGTCCAAGATTAAAACCTACAGTTAATCTTTATGTTAATGAACTGATTTTTAGAATGGTCATATGATAAGAAATATGGTTTATATGAGGTCATAGAATATTTGACATATATTCACATGAGTATTCAATAACATGTAAATTTGCAGTTCTAAAACTTTTGAAGACTTTGAACTATAGAAGCAGAGAAATGACCTTAGTATATCTTCTACAGGACTTCCCAAGACACCCCAACACAAAAACTATATTCAATTAACCAAAAATAATACCGATATAGACTGAATTGTGTCTACCCAAAATTCATTGTGAAACCCTAATTCCCAATATGACGGTATCTAGAAATGGGATGATTAGGAGGGAATTAGGTATAGAGGAGATCATGAGTATGGAACACTGATAATGGGATTAGTGTTTTTATAAAATAAAGAGGTCATAACTCTCTTTTCCATTCTCTTTGCCATGTGAAGACAATGCCAGAAGGTGGCCATCTACAAGACAAGGAGGGAGCCCTCACCAGAAACTGATAATGCCAGAGCTTGATCTGGGACTTCTAACCTTCAGAACTATGAGAAAATAAATTTCTATTGTTTAACCCACGCTGTCTATTGTGTTTTGTTACGGCAACTTTAAGCAGCTAACACAGATGCCTACCACTTAAAGCAATCTCTTTGTATTAAATATCAAAATTAATATTTATTTAATGCTTATTATAAATATATAATACATTGTTGTTATGTAAAGGTAATGTGATTTGCACAATACAGAGAATAAACATCTGTTGATTTTCTCCATTGTCCATAGGACACACCTGACCTATGGCCTCTAGAGACCAGCTGGCTCATAGACCATCTTTAAAGAGACAGAAAAAAGGCTCAATGAAAATGATTATTACTTCAAAACATTAGTAGTTTAAAATAGTTCCTTCACTATATCAAAAATAGTTTCTTCGGTAATGGGAATTCATATTCCTACTTGAACTGAAGATGCTAAGTTGTTAACATCTCCCCTAGGCATTTGCTTCTGGGGATGCACCTTCAATCATTTCATCATAGCTTAAGCATAATGAAATTTCACTTATGCTCCAAGGCATGAATGGTCCTAAATGTTCGTCAGTCAGTATAGTACTCAACCTTGTGCCTTAAGGATGAACATTTTTTAAAATATTACAAAATGAAAAAGGAAAGGGTCCAAGCCTGGGGAACAAAATCCTATGTTTCTTTAGAAACATTCAAAACCTCTTTGAGGTTTTAACTGCCTGGTTTTAAAGAAAGCAAGCGTGGGTAGGGGGGACATGGAAGAGAACCTGATAGGACAACTGATTTAATTCCTGCGGTCACTTTAATCCCTTCTGCCCCCTTTTGGAACTCCAAGGGGTCTAAGAACTCTAAGAAATCTATACAAAATTTTTTTGTCCTATATATACTTTCTGGGGAAAGGGACCTGAGCTTCGAAAATAATCTCCAAGGAGACAGTGACCAAAACAGTTAAGAACCTTTTGTTTTAGGGCTTAAGGAAAGGATCAGTCCCCCCTCACCTTGGCTAAGTATAATTGCATTCCTGCTTGCTGCATAATACTTAAGACCTCAGGATGTGTACCAGGCCCTCCTTCCACTCACTACTTGGTTGGCTACCTTGTTCCTTGGTTTTGCTCCTCAGCGTGTATATGTTTATGCTGGTTGCCTCCAATTTCCCCCTTCCTCCTAGTTGTCCCACTCTGAATATCTCTATTTAGTAAGAGTGGATGCTGAGTGGCTGTGTGTCCTTATCTGAGTGAGACTCACAGTAGAACTTACCACATTTATCAACATACCCCTCTCTTATTTCTATATACTCTTTTGGGGCCACCCAAATTTGCCACAGCGCTGGATGTGTTGTCTACCTCTTTACTCTCTAGAAATGGGTCTAGAAATGATCCAGTTTGGCCAGGTACTTTAAAGCCTGTCAGATCCTGCTTTACAGCCATTCCTAGGTGGTGTAAATTTCTTTTCCATTCCTACCTTAAAGATGCTGTGAGAAAGAAATGGGGTGCTTTTTACATCAATGGTTTTGGCACTATTACATCAAGTGGCTGAATCTCCTGCACCTGCCTTGCCCATTTCTTCCCTAAGTGTCAGAGCAATCAAGCACCCGACATTGCACCCCTCACCCTTCCACCTGCTCCAAGTCCCACATTCCAAGTTCCCTCCTTAAATATAACTTCGGATCTTCCTCCCTCCCTCCTTGTATTGGGGTGAAGAATAGTTCACTCTTACTATACCCCTCTTACCAATAAATTCTAAAATCTCTTCGTTTCCTTGAAGAGCGCAGGTGGGTAAGTTTTTAGCATTTGTTTTGCCTAAAACTTGCCTAAAACCAGTGAGTCTGGCCCTTGGACATCCTGGATCTCAAGGCAAGGAGGGGCTGGCCAGGAGGGTCCGGGACGCTCAAGACTATTTATAACAAGATCCGCCCCAGGGAGTGCCTAGAGGCCAACGAGCTGCAGCCTCGAGGCGCTGGCCTAAGGACCCCCGGGGGAAGGCCGGCCAGGCCGAACGAGGGCGCTGCGGCCTCCGGCTCTTCCTCGGGGCGCGCGCGCCGCCAGGTTAGTGGGTGGCGGCGGCCCGGGCCCCCGGGGATGGCCGCGGCTGCGCTCCGCCAGCAGGTGGCCCCGGGGTCCCGGCGGCGGCACCGCCTCCTCCCTGCGCCCCTCCTCCCGCGGGGGCGGTCAGCGCCCCGACCTGGCTCGCACCCCGTCGCTGCCGCCGCCGCCTTCAACCCGCCCCCTGCCCGACCGCCGCGTCCCCAGGGCCGCGCTCGCCGCCGCCACTGCCGCGTCCCGAGCTGCGCCCAGGCCGGCCAGCGGCGACATCCCGGGGCGCCCGCCGCTCCGGCCCGCTCTTCCCACCCCCAACTCGCTCCCCAACGGAAAGTTCGGCTCCGGCCGGGTTTTCCCAGAAGCCGGGAAGGAGCCAGGGTCGGGGGGCTTGTGGAGGGGACCCGGGGGGCGGCCGGGAGGGGGCAACTTCTCCCGGGAAAGCGCCTCCTGCCGAGCTCGGCGCGCCGCAGCCCCCGAGAGGGTTCGAGGTGGTTCTTCCCTTCCCTTGGCCTCCCCCCTGCGGATTCCACAGACGGACCTTGGTCCCGGCGCTCCCGCTGCTGGGTGACAAGAGCACAAGCCGCCGCAGCCACCGCCTCGGCTGCCCCCGGCCGCAGCCCTGCCTACAGCACCATGGAGTTCTCCGAGAGGAAAAGGAGCAGGAAATCCCAGAGCTTCAAACTGGTGAGCGGAGGTAAGCGGCGCCGGCCCGGGCGTGCAGGCGGCGGGCAAGGACGTGGCGCCGCGTAAACAGCTCCGCGCGCGGCCCGCGCCCCGTTCCGGGCTCCGGGACCCCGAGTTCCCTCCCGAGGGGGGCCGCAGCTGCGCTCCGGGAGGCGAGCAAAGTTCTGCGGGGGAGAGGCAGGCGGTGGTTGTTCCGCGTAAACAAGTCGGAGGACACTAAGGAAATTAGCAAACAATGACACTTGGGGAGCCGAGAGCCCTCTTTGGTATTCCACTCCTGCGTCCAGGTTGGGGGCTGGGGGAGAACTGCCTTTCCATCAGGCCGTGCGGACACCGATCCCGACCACTGGTTATGGGCTTGGGGATTTTTTCCCCCAAAGAGAAGGGAAAGAGTGGTAGTGGTTCTTTTAAGAACGAGAAAGAAGCTCATGAGCCGTGCAAGCCCATGCAAGAATTGTTGATATCCGAAGTCTTTTCTAGATGTGTTGTTTGGGTTGCTGAGGTGTCTTAGAATAGATTACTTATCAGTTCAGTTCACTTGAGTATCATTTTAAAAAAATCTAGCCAGTTCCTGACGACTTAACAGGTGTACACCAGAGTCTCTGGGCTTGGGTTGATTCTGTCAGGGGAGGGGAAAGTTGAGTAGTGTCATCAGGTGAACGTTTTGTGTGCAGTTACTTGTTAATTTATTTTTTCTGATTTGACTTTTTAAAAAAAACGGTCAGAACTTAAGGTAAGAACAGATGAAAATGTCTATGGAAACGCATTGTGTCGATTTGAATGAGAGGTGACTTTTTTTCATGGCAGTGTCACAAGTCCTAATATTGAGTTTACCTTTGAATAAACTTGAGATCAAAACCAAACCACAGAGCCTGTCCATTTTTCCTTGGTTGCTTTAACACCAGAGTAAAGAGCAAGGCAATCGTCTTAACAACCTGAAGAAGTCACATAGAAGCTGATGAAAATTAGAGGGCCATTGCAAGTAATAGATATTTTCATGCTAAGCTAACTATGATGCAGAGTCAATAAAGCCTGCTTTCAGTTGGTCTGAAAATGGTTTTCTTACAGTTTGAAGATCTGCTCCTACGTTTCCTCTGCTTTCATTTGACACTGTTTAATGAAAGAGGTCTGAAGTAATTTTATGAATTCAAAATATTTGGCTCTTTCCTCTTTCTATGTACATTTTCCCCCCAGCAGTGTTGATTACTCAGTCATTTAGTTCAAAAATCTCTCCTCCTGTGACTGGCCTGTTTGTCTATCTGATTCATTCAGGAATGTAGGCTACTTTCTAATTTGTGACCTCAGGGAACTTACTACTTTATCTCAAAAGTGAGAATACTTCTATAGATCTTGTTTTTTGAGGTCCAAGCCCCCACCACCACTACCGCACCCCCCCCAGTGCAAAAAAAAAATGAATAGCTGTTAAGAAGAAACTTCTGTTTACTTACCTAGGCAATCCTATTTTTTAGAAACAAATCGCCAAAGCACAGCAGCCTCTGTAGAGAAGCTTGTAAAATACTGTATTCTGAAGTTTGACTGACATGGCAAGTTTTTCTTCTTCTTTTTCTCCCTAAATTATGGGTCTGATTCTTCTCTCTGCTCTGCAGGTGCTTTTTAGAAAATAAACTATTGCATGTTAGAGTTCAGCAGCTGAATGCAGAGGACTCACGTGTGAAAGATGGGAATCTTTCTTATCCTAATTATACTAGATGTGAAATAATAAGTCAGTATTTTTGCAGTGTTATTGCCTAAAAGCTGCTTAAAGGAGGGGATTTTTCTAGGTAAACTAAGTGTACCAGGTAACTCTAAAGCATACATTATTCATACGCTTATGAAAACAGGTTGTGGAGATATATTTGGAATCCTCCCTTGGCCTACGATTGGGCAAGGTTTTATTTTTCTTATAAAAATCCTTGTCATTTGAAAGAAAAGAAGCCCAATAATTGGCATCTGTGGCTAAATTTCCTGTGAAAACCATGTGGTCAAGCAAAACTATTTCTAAAGTCAAAGTAACATTTCAAGTTTGTGTGCTCCAGAGCAAGCAAAGTTTTAGGGGTTATTAGTAACTACAAAGTCTGTGGTTGATCAAGTTATGGAAAATGACATTTATAAATTAACGTATAGATTATCCATACTGTATAGAATGAGACTCTAGTTTTCACTGCTTATGCATATGGTGCAGGTCATTAGAATTCTAATTTTTGGTTGTTTTCTCATCCCAGATTATCACCATGAGCTATATAAGCTGTCAGAATTCAGCAATGATGTCAATGGGGAGGCCAAAGAGACACACCCCATTTTTTTAGGTAGGTTCCTATGTCAGTTAATTTCTCAGCAAAACAATGTGGCCATTCGCAATTAGGCGGGGAGCTGTGGGGGGGGGGGGCGGGGACGGGCGGGTAGATTGTGCCAGAGAGGGAAATGTCTGCCATTGCTTAGTGTATGACACTCTTTTGAAGACCTTTCATTTTACAGATTGCCAATATATTCCTTATTAACATTGGTAAAAGTTGTAATTTCAGACATAAATGTTTATTAGTGTCTACACACAGTGCTAATTATCACTCACTCCCAGAGCCAGATGCTGACGGGGCAGTTTTGTCGCTCTGTGCTCACCCCATTTACATTGCATATTCGCTGGCACGCTTCACTGGCAATAGTTTGTGTAATTGGGGTATTACATCTTTGACATCTGGATAACAGAAATTCAATTTCCAGGAAGCTGCCATTTGTTTGGTTTTACCTCTCTGCCTTGGGTGGGATAGAGGATTAATACGCTGTCTTATTATTATGTCCCTTCACCTTTGTGGCCTGGTTGCTAATCCTGCCATGACAAAATTAAATTAAATCTACAGTCAAAAAGCGTAAGGAAAATACAAGTGTGATTGTCTGCCTAACCCCCTCTTGATAGTTAGTACCAGTTATCACAGCACAGCTCCTCGTTTTCCTGGCTTTGTGTTCATTTCATGCCAACGTTTGGAGTCAGAGACTAGCCATGCTTTGCTCTCACTGTCCTCATTCCTAGCTCAGCTCAGAGACACAGAGCAAAAGCAGCATCTCTGAGACCTTCTGACAAATGTAGTTGCAAGATAAATGAATAGGTAGCCCCAAAATGTTGCTGCTCTTATGTACAGTCTCTGGTAACTTACATGTGCAGTTTGTTATCTGAAGACCATCAGCCCAAAATTAGGAATTTGCCTCTAGGAGTGAAGGGCCCATAAAATCATAATGGAGAGTAAATGGTGGCATTTGGCTATAACCTTGCCGATCCTGGATGCCTCTCCACTGCTGGTAGTAGGGGGAAGGCTGGATACTGTACAACAAGGAAGCAGAGAAGGGGAGAAAGTCTGGGCAAGAGTGATTAAAAGCAAGGGCCAGAATTGCCATCTCCCTGGGGAGAATTGACAGGGCTGCAGGAAGCAGGTTGCTGCTCAGACCAGGTATGTATTGCTACAACTTAAAACAATGTGAAAGCCAGATGCATGTAGTGATCTGTCCCCAACATCTCTCTTTGCTTTGAGAAAGAGAAAGTGTGGGTGGCAAATGACTAAGAAGTCAAACAGAGATGAATAGAAAATAGGAGGGACATAGCATTTCTTACACAAGCGATCGTTGAAGGCACATGAGTCTTCCCATTGAGGGAGAGAATATTACTGAGGCCAGCACTGCTCTCAACACCTGTTTATTGTTAAGAAAACTAAAAACCAAAATGTTAATAGTCAAGTGAAATGGTATGACACAGAAGGAGAATATTCTCAGATTGTACTCTTCTCAGTTCCTTAATCAGCTGGAATTCTATATTTTCAGTTCCCTAAACTCAACTGGTTGGAATTCTGTATCTAGGTGCCACTCAATTTATCCATTTGAAATGAAGAATTTGTCTATTAGTAGTAGAAAATTTACATTTGTCATAAAAATAGAACATCATGTCTTTGGTTTAGTATTCTGCAGTGAAGCGGTCCCCCCCGCACTCCCTTCTGCTGTGTACTTGAAAAGGAAGAAGGATGCTGTACCGTAGGTTGATTCGGAGTATGAGAGCGTGGAGGATGAAGAATGGGAAGATACTAGTACGCAAAATGCAGTACAATGCACACTCTCAAAGAGGCAGAAATTGCTGCTTTTATTTTTTCCCCACTCAAGTCCAGGGCAGTAAGAGAACATCAGTGAAAGACTAGGGTTGGGATAAGCTTTCCAAATTGGGCAAGAAGGCCTTAGACACTAAGAGACAAAAGACTGAGTGGTATGAAGTGTGCCTGGGTTACTTCTCAATCTTTTGCTCATTGTGGGCAAGGTTTGATGTGGTTCCTAAAAAACATTTTATTTTGCAATCTCCAGTGGAAGAGCAAGTAATTACACAAACATAATTTCTAGGGCAATTGGGAATAGTTACGGATAGCATATAAAATTGAGAGTTTTGTTGTGGATGATGTTATAAAATGGACATTTTTTGACTTTGTAATTACTCTTCTAAAACATAGATTTAAATCATGTTTGTTTTCTAAGTCACCAACATGTATCTATAATATTACTTATTACTGTGTAGAAAATGGTGTGAGGGGTATGACATCCAAGGAAATTTGTTAACAGAGCACCAGAAGAACTGTTTTACCTATCATGCAGCCTAAAACATGACCCTTGTGTTATTGTCTGGGATTTTATATGTTCCCACGTGTGTTACCCTTGACACTACCTGCACCTATAAGATTCAAGTTCGTGTCTTGGGGAAAGAGAGTGCTCCAGAATTTGGCAGAAGTCCCCACGGGAAATCTGTTTCTCTGCAATATTTTTAGGCTGTTGACTATGTAGGGCGTCCAGCACGGGAGGGCAGCTCCACAGCGGGAACAGCATGGCTGTGTGCTCTGGGAGTCGCACATTTTCAGTGATAACAGGGCCAGCAGAGGTTACTTTGCCCTGTGCACGCTGACTTTGTCAGGCTGGCTGCGATGGACTGGTGTGAAGATTTGAGTGCTGTTTAGAGAAAAACTACTTAACTCCTTTTAATCAATTCAACAGATGTTTGTGGGGAAGAGGCTGTGAACTCAGCACTTTTCTGGAATGAAAGTGGGTTTTCTGGAATGGAGGAGGACTGAGAGTAATGAAATAAATGTATAGAACAGGGTCCTATACATTTGCTCTCAAGGATGAAAACCCAGTTGAGGAGATGGGACAAATTCAGGACACAGTGAAGGAACGAGATTCAGTAGTCAAAACAGTTACAGTTGTTTGAGTGCTTACTGTATGCACGGTCTTGAACTGAGTTCTTTTGGGGGAATGATCTCATTTATTCTGAGAGCAAATCGGTAAGAATCATTATCACCCCAGTCTTGGAGATGAGACTTAGAGATGCTAGGTAGCCTGCCAGAGGTCTTAGATAGCAAATGCCACTGCTGGGGTCCCCTTCAGGTCTGCCTGAGCTGTAAACACCCCTGTACTGCCTCTCTGTGTGAGCAGTAATTAAATGACCATTGTGAACCATTTAGGGCAGCGGGCAAAAGCAGAGTTGGAAGGAAGGACCCAGTTCAGGGTCCGGTGGAGAGCTCTGGAGAGGCTAGACCTTGAACTAGGGAAAGATTTGAATAGATGGGGGCAGTTGGAGGAGATTGCAGGTGGGAGGGCTGGCGAGAGCCACAGCAGCAGATAAGAGGGTCAATATAATCAGACTTTACGTGAGGGCTACACTGTGTAGTTCAGAATGTGCCTTCACATCTGACATCTCATCATTTTTACAGTATTCCTGTGAGGTCATTAAGGTGGCTGTTATCAACCCCACTGGCCAGAGGAGGAAACAAGCTCTGAATTAAGTGACTTGCTCACAAACAGTAGAACCCAGAGTAAATTCAAATCTCCTGTCCAAAGATCTGTTCCCTCTAACAAGTTGAGCCACGCAAGTTCAAGGATCATCAAAGAAACCTTAACTGGGAACAAGGCACTTTTGGAAAGTATTTTAATGAGGCAGTTAATTAATTTTTTATTCAGAACAATAACACAGACACTTAAAGTCTCTTTGTATACATTGCATGTTGATTTAGATTTACTATTATAGTATATGGATTTGACACATGTCTGTTTTTCAGGTGTTCGACATCAATTATGCATTCTTTTAACAAATATTTATTGGGTTCCAGTTATGTGCCAGACCCTGAGGTTCTTTTGAATACTTGGTCCGGCCATACAACTGTCAGAAAATGAAGCACAGGTGTAGTGGCCATGCCGAGTGATCAGGATTTCCATCTCTGAATCGTTCAGTCTCTCTCCTGATGACAGCTGTCCCCGCCAGAGTCCCCAGAGACACCTCAAAGATGACATGCTCAAAAAAGTCCTTCCCACTTTTCCAAGTGAGAGAGTTACGCCCAGACTACAGTCTAATTCTTTTTCCTGAGAAGTGGACGGGTCCATGTGTGAGATGGGAGGGCTCCTCCCCCAGAGTCCAGTGGCCTGGGTCCTGCCCTGTTCTTGTTTGGCCCCAAAGCACTCGGAAGCTGGCCTTCTTCCAAGTTCTGATGTTTCACTGTATCAGTGTCTAGAGTTCCAAGAGTGAGAAGCAACCTCAAATAAAATGAAGGTCCAAGAGACAGGAAAAGAAAGCCCTCCTCCCCCAAACGCACATTGTTTGGAAATAAGAATGTTTCATCTCTTCTTCTCTTTCTGAAGCTCTGCCCTCAGCACCATGGCCCCACTATGGCCTCATGTCCCTGACCTTTTTCATGTTCGTTCTCCCCTTTTTTGGTGGTGGAAGGAAGGGGACAGAGCACTAAGAGTGGCTCTTGGGGTTAAGAATGTGGCCAATAATAGTAGGTGTCATTTATGGAGAGCTGGCTGTGTGTCAGACACCATGCTACTGACTCTGTGTATGTTGTTCCATTAATTGTCCCAAGAAAAGTATTATCATTCCCAGTCTATGGATAAGGAATTTGGGGAGTTCACAAAGTTACTCCGAGACAGAACCAGGAGAAAACCAAGCTCTGTCTGCAGAACCAGGCCCTTGACCCCATGAAATGCTTTGTTCAGTCCACTCCCATGTGGAACCCCCAGCATCTCTAACAGTCGAAAGGGGATGGGGCTGCTGGAGGCAGGTGGAGGAGACCCAGAGCACCTTGTCCCACACCCCACATTCCTCCGCCCCACCCCCACTCTGTGGGTCTTTGCAGATCTTTAGGTTACCCTCCACTTGAACACCTCCATCTAGATTGTTTCTAAGATTTCCTGCAGCACTAAAAGTGTATCTGGTTATGCTGTAGGTCCAAAACATGGCTTCAAAAATAATTTCAGGGGCAGAGGTTTAAACAGTTGTTTTATTGTAAAATAC